TTGCTGTACACTGGCTTTGTCTAGTTGCCACGAGCTGGGGCTACTCTTCATTGAGGTGCGTGGGCTTCTCATTGCAGTGCCTTCTTTCGTTGCGGAGCACAGGTACTAGGTACAAGGGCTTCAGTAGTTGTGGTGTGCGGGCTCAGTAGTTATGGCACATGGGCTTTGTTGTCCGTGACATACGGGATCTTCCTGGACCAAGGCTCGAACCCATGTCCCCTGCATTGGCAGGTGGATTCTTAACTACTGCGCCACCAGGGAAGTCCCTAGGTCTTTGTTAAAGATTTCTTGCATCTTCTCGAACTCTGCCTCCGTTCTTTTTCTGAGGTTCTGGATCATCTTCACTATCATTATTCTGAATTCTTTTTCTGGAAGGTTGCCTATCTCCACTACATTTAGTTGTTTTTCTGGGGTTTAAGCTTGTTCCTTCACCTGGTGCATAGTCCTCTGCCTTTTCATTTTGTCTATCTTTCTGTGAATGTGGGTTTCGTTCCACTGGCTGCAGGATTGTAGTTCTTCTTTTTCTGCTGTCTGCCCTCTGGTGGATGAGGCTCTCTGAGAGGCTTGTGCAAGCTTCTGGATGGGAGGGACTGGTGGTGGGTAGAGCTGGGTGTTGCTCTGGTGGGCAGAGCTCAGTAAAACTTTGTCTGCTGATGGGTGGGGCTGAGTTCCCTTCAGTTGGTTGTTTGGCCTAAGGCAACCCAGCACTGGAGGCTACAGGCTCTTTGGTGGGGCTAATGGCAGACTCCAGGAGGACTCACACCAAGGGGTACTTCCCAGAACTTCTGCTGCCAGTGTTGTTGTCTCCGCGGTGAGCCACAGCCACCACCCACCTCTGCAGGAGACCCTCCAACACTAGCAGGTAGGTCTGGTTCAGTCTCCCCTGGGTTCACTGCTCCTTCCCCCCGGGTCCTGATGAACACACTACTTTGTGTGTGCCCTCCAAGAGTGGAGTCTCTGTTTCACCCAGTCCTGTCAAAGTCCTGCAATCAAATCCCGCTAGCCTTCAAAGTCTGATTCTCTGGGAATTCCTCCTCCTGTTGCCAGACCCCCAGGTTGGGAAGCCTGACGTGGGGCTCAGAATCTTCACTCCAGTGGGTGGATTTCTGTGCTATAAGTGTTCTCCAGTTTGTGAGTCACCCACCCAGCGGTTATGGGATTTGATTTTATTGTGATTGTGCCCCTCCTGCTGTCTCATTGCAGCTTCTCCTTTGTCTTTGGATGTTGGGTATCTTTTTTGGTGAGTTCCAGTGTCTTCCTGTCAATGATTGTTCAGCATTTAGTTGTGATTCCAGTGCTCTAACATGGCACTGCTTCTGATCAAAGAAATAATTTCACGTTCCAGAGGCTGGGAAGTCCAAGATCAAGTTTCCAATAGGATTTGGTTTCTGGTGAGAGCTCTTTTCCTGGCTTGCAGATAGCCACCTTCTCACTGTGTCCTCACATAGTGGAGAGAAAGATATCTAATGTCTCTTCCTGTTTTATAAGGATAACAGTTTTAGCAGATTACTTAGCTTATTCAAGTAAAAATTAAAAAAGAATGTTTGTTCCTCCAGTGATTGAATTTACAAAATGGAGTGGACAGTTGCCACCTTAAATCATTGTAGAAATAAACACGGTATGATAAGTAGGGAATTTTTTGATAAAAAAGTCTACTGCAAAGGTAATGCTGGCACTCTTTCCTAATCAACAACCATAACTTATTCAGCTTTCCTATACTAAACACTTGGGTGAAGAAGTGAAGGACCAAGGAAGCCTTCAAGAAGAAAGCAAAGGTCAAAGCAATTTCAGGCTAAAAGGGAACAATCACTCTGAGTTTTCAAAGGCTTGCTTATAGGGACACATTACAAGTGTTAATTCTTTGGGTAAGATTCACATTTACCAGACTGAATGTTTATAGTCACTGCTATTTGAAGTTTTGATCCTCAACTCATTAGAAAATTACCCAACACTGTATGTATGACCTCTTGTATTTATCTTGTACTGCTTTTAAGCTCTTGAAATACTGAACTTTTAAACGTTTCATCCCCCTAAGACTGTAAAGCTTTTTGAGGGAAAGAGCTTTATTATGTCCCTACCCCTGTTAATCACCAAGAGGGTCACAATGAGCTCAATTAATCTACTGAATCTTTTAACTCTTTCATTTTTTTTGGAATGCCCTTGGGATATGCATTCTGTAAATGGACACTCAACATGTTTATAGTGAAAATATAATGGCTGAGAGCCTGGCCAGTGTAAACACATTCTTTCTATGTCTTAATGACAAAGGATTGCTTAGATTTAGAGAAGAAAACGGGTGATTTCTTTTACAGTGTGTTAAAGTATTAAAAAGAAGCACTGAAAGTTCTTTGGATTTTATGCTCTACCACAGTGCAAAGCCCTGGGTAATCTGGCCTCCTGTTTCTTCGTGCAAAGCAGAAAATCAGACTCAGGGTAATGAATTCTACCCAGCCTTGGGCACTTGAAGCTGAGCGCTGTGATCGTACATCGTCTTTCACACTGCCAGCTTATAAGCGAAATGCAAACTCTGGGCTTCTCAGTGGGACAGGCACAGAACGAGAGGAGAGGGGCCGCACGCAGAGGGGTCAAGTCCAGGAAGCAGTCAGAGACCTCTACCCCAGACCTCCCCTTCCGCAGACAACCGAAGTAGAAGGGCAGATGTACGTGGGCAGAGATGTGTGCCCAAGAGACGGGCACAGATGGACCGGGGACATTCGGAGCAAGGGAGCTGGGACACAAACCACGAAGGGTGATGAGAATCCACCTCGTGGGCGGTATTTTGTGCCAATGAGTGTGTGAACGTGTGAACTCTACTCCGGAACGGGTGGCCGCGGAGCCCGGCCTGGCGCGGCCTCCACGGCGAAAAGAAAGAGGTGGCTTTGTTCCCGGGATGTGAATAAGGGAGCTTACAAAAGGCAGCGTTCCGCGGCGAGAACACTTGTCTCGGTAGGGGCTTGGACAGCGCGCGAAACTCGCCATCAGGCTCCCAGCCGGAGCGGCCGGCTGCACAAGTGCCCGCAGTGGGGACAGCCTTGTTGGCCCCTGAGCTTCGCTCGTAGAGGCCGTGGCGCGGGCCCCGCCGCGTCCCCCAGCCGGCGCGGGCGGCCCCACGCGCCCGCCACTCCGCTGAGCTGCCAGCACAACATTCCGTTTAAAAATAACACCCACGTGCGCTGGTAAACAAGCGCGCGCTGCTGCTGGTGCCGCGCTCCCAGAGCGAGCCTGTGAGGCGCGCGCGCGCGCGCGCTCGCCCGCCCTCCTCCCGCACGTGTCTGCCGGCTCCGCCCGAGCTGCGCTAGCGCGGCCCAGTCTCCGCCCCTTCGGCGGGCCGCTCACCACCCAGGAGGCCCGAGACCGGCCGCTGCCGGGCCCTAGCGCCCCCCGTATTACCAGGCGTGCCCCGCAGAATGCTCTCCAACTTTCCTTCCCTGATGCCACCTCATCGCGGCTGGACACATCGTCTCAGGTCTGCTCCTTCCCTCCCCTCCCCGGTCTTCTCACGTCCCTCTCCTTTTAACTCTCCCTCCCATCAGCGCGCGGAGGATTGCCTTCTGGTTCGCCCTCTCTCTATCCTCTCCTCCTTCCTTCCTTCGAATTTTACTCGATTGTTTATTATTTGTTGGGGGGCGGAGGCGGGGGGCGGAGAGGGGCGTCTGGGGCCTGGTGACGGGTGGCCGCGGCCAGTCAGCGCGCGGCGTGGCTTGACGAGTAAGCGGCGCGGCTTGACGAGTAAGCGGCGCAGCGAATGGCGACGCGGCGCAGAGATCCCGGGTCACGCGCTTGTGGATACAATGACATCATCTGTTTGTACGCGTCGAACTAGCTTGGTGCAGGGGCGGGGCCTCGCGTCACTTGAGTGACGGGTCCTACGCAAAGCCCGGAGCCTGGATTCGGCCGGGTGGGCGGATTCCTGGGTACGCGGGGTTGGACCTTTTTGTGTATAGGGTTGTTGCGGAGTCCGCTTTGGACTCCAAGATATTTCTAGTGACTTGGAACGATTTGGGGGGTGGGGGCGGGGAAAGATATTTATAAACCAAAGCGGATAGAATTTTGGTGTGCGTGTCGCATGTCTTGCATTCTTAGTGCACAAATGAACGACTTTGGGTACTGATCGTAGGATAAGGAGTTGTGAAGATATTTTTCTAAACCTAAACGAGTAGCTTTCTTTTAAAAGTAAAAAATGCACAATTAGGTATTTCGCCGTCATTTAAAAATTAGACTAATTATTTCCCATTAACAGTTGTTCAGAATTTGTTCTTGCATTTAGGAATGTGGAATAATCTGCTTTTCTCCCGAGTTACACTTCTCCCCTCGTTTGCCGTGAAATTCACGAAAAGTGAAACACGATTGCGGTCAAGCGTCCTAGGTTAGTGCAAACCTCTTGGTGCCTGATCAAATCTGAGGGCATCGGTTTATCGAAGTCCTGAGGGCACCAACATCTTCGCTTGCCAGTATTTTCACGCTGAGGTAACCCTTGCCATCTACGGTCAGCATCTTATCTCGGGTGTTACCTGGTGTCGGGTTCTAATGGGGAACCGGACACCAGGGCGGGCGCAGAGCCTGGCGGAGGGACGCGCTAGCTGAGGACCCCCGGTTCCAGGCGCCCTGCTCCGAGTCAGGGAGGCCACGCGACTGCGCTGGTGGAGGGTTTGGGGCTCTGCGGCCCCCCTCCCCTTCTCCTGGGCCAGCGCCGCGCTTTGTTGTCGTTGAGGCTCGCGGGAGAGAGGAGGAGCCCGGCGGGGACCGCTGCTGGAGCCTGCGGAGTCCCGGCCCCCGGCGCGCGGCCTCACACCCAAGCCAAGGGCTCCGCGGGGCCGGGTCGCGCAGGCGCGCGCGCGCACAGAGACACGCGCGCACACACACGCACACCAGCACACCCGGACCCGCCGCCCAGCCCTCCCCCTGGGCGGGGACCCGCCCGCCCGCCGTCAGCTTAGGTTGAGGCACACTGCGTGTGTCTATAACTTTGTGCTGCTGCCGCGGCCGCCCTGCTCGTGGAAGGGAGGAGGAGGAATGTGGAAGGCAGCAGCGCGCAGGCTGACAGGCGGTTCTTCAGGCGGGCTGCGGCGGCGGCCGGAGCGCCTCTTCTTGGCCGGGGTTGCGCGCCCCCTCCTCGCCCTGCCCCGGCCCCGCGCGGGATTGTGAGTCCTCCCCCCTCGTTCCTGAAGAGAAGGAACCCAGGTAGGCGCCGGAGCTGTGCAGCGGGTCGGCCGCCTTCCCGGTGACTCCGGATCTGCTTCTGAGCTGGGCCAGGCGCTTCCCTTTTCCCTCCCCGTGACTCGGTGTGCGCGCCGCTCTTCTCTCCCGCTAGTGTTTTTAAAGGACTTGAGTGAAGGGGGGAAACTGTCAAGATGGCAGCAGCGGGAGCCAGGAGGTGATGAACGTGCTGGTCCGGGTTTTCTGGCGGCCCGGGAGACTTGGTGCTTCCCGACCTGTTGGAAGATTGACGTTCCGACTTGCCCCCTCCTCTCGCTCTTACAAGGAAGGGGGTGGAGTACACGACGCCCGCGGGAAAATAAACCACACAAACCCCCAAAGTGGCCGTTGCTGCTCGGCTCGACCCTTTGCAAATACCCGCCGAGCTGCTTGCCCCCCTTCTTCCCTCTTTCCTTTTTTTCTGGAAGTGACAAGGGCCCGTTTGCTCTCGGACCCACGTTCACCCTCTCAGCCCGCGGGCGAAGAGGGGAGAAGGGAGATGCCCGCGCCTTCTCCGGGCTTGGGCCCTCCGTTAGGAGGGGGGGTGGCAGGGGGGCGCGGAGGCGGCAGGGCCAGGGACTGGGAGAAGAGCCGAAGAGGCCACAGACTTTGGCGGCGTCGCCGCGGGAAGCACTTGAGCGGGCTGGAGCGAAACATAAACAAACGCACGCCCGCCCAAGACTCGGGCTCCGACCACGGCTGGGCTGCGCCAGCTCCGGCTGCTGCCCGCTTTAAAGGCGCGGCCCGCGCCCCTCCCCCTTCTTCCCCGCCCCTCCCCCTTCTTCCCCGCCCCGCCACCTAGCCCAGGAGAGACCTGCAGCTTCCGCGGCGGCGGCGGGGGGAGTGGGGAGTGCCCCTTGAGAGCCTGTCCATTCGCTCCAGTCTCCCCAGCGGCCTGGTAGGGGGGCCGCGTCTGCTGCGCCAGGTCCGCGGGACGCACGTCTCCAGGTCTGCCTGCTCCTGGGAGGCGGGCGCGGTGCGATCGGGAAGCGGTGGCCGCGGCGGCGGCGGGCGAGGACTGGGTTGCAGCCCGGGATAACCAACTCTCCTTCTCTCTTCTCTCGTGCTTCCCCAGGCGGCGGCAGTAGCGGCGACGGCGGCGCCCGGGAGCCCGAGTCTTCGCGGCGCCCCCGTCCCTCCCCCGCCGCACCCCGCCCCGGCGCGAGAGGAGAGCGCGAGAGCCCGAGCCGCGGTCGGGCGGGCGGCGAAGATGGCAGAGGCGCCGGCCTCCCCGGCCCCGCTCTCTCCGCTCGAAGTGGAGCTGGACCCGGAGTTCGAGCCCCAAAGCCGGCCGCGCTCCTGTACGTGGCCCCTGCAGAGGCCGGAGCTCCAGGGGAGCCCGGCCAAGCCCTCGGGGGAGGCGGCCGCTGACTCCATGATCCCCGAGGAGGAGGACGATGAAGACGACGAGGACGGCGGCGGTAGGGCCGGCTCGGCCATGGCGATCGGCGGCGGCGCGGGCGGCCCGCTGGGCTCAGGGCTGCTCCTGGAGGACTCGGCTCGGCTGCTAGCTCCGGGAGGGCAGGACCCCGGGTCCGGGCCAGCCCCCGCGGCGGGCGCGCTTAGCGGGGGGACGCAGACGCCGCTGCAGCCTCAGCAGACACTGCCACCGCCGCAGCCGGGGGCGGCTGGGGGCTCCGGGCAGCCGAGGAAATGCTCGTCGCGGCGGAACGCCTGGGGGAACCTGTCATACGCTGACCTGATCACTCGCGCCATCGAGAGCTCCCCGGACAAACGTCTCACTCTGTCCCAGATCTACGAGTGGATGGTGCGCTGCGTGCCCTACTTCAAGGATAAGGGCGACAGCAACAGCTCTGCCGGCTGGAAGGTGCGTACTCACCTGGGGCGGGCGGCCAGACCCGCCGGGCCTCCTGCGCACTGCGAGATGTGCCTTCGATTCGTCGGAGCGCGCCTGCGGGCGCCGGGGAAAGGGGTTGGCAGGGAAAGCCTCCGCTGTGAGGCTTTGGGGGTTCTGTGTGACCCGGGAGGAGGGGAACCCGGGGATGGCAGCGCAGGCGGCGGGAGGGGGAGAGGAGGCTCCTGGGGAAGCCTCGGGCATGGCCAGGTGAGGAGAGGGCGCGAGGGACGCTGGCGAGGGAAGGACAGACGAACAGGAGTGCATTTGCCGGATTCCTGGGTCATCGCAGAGGAGGTAGGTCCTCGGCCAACTTTGGAGTCGATTTCCCGGTAGTGGGTGCACGCGAGGCCGCTGCGGGTGGAGTGAGGGGACGTGTTTGGGAATCGGTGCCCGGAGGTGAGGTTGGATGTGTGGTTTCCAGTAGGTCGCAGGAGCATGGTGTGTTGTGACTAGCTGGATGAGAACCCTTGTGTCCAAGTTTCGGGGTTGTGGGTGTTAATTAATTCCCACAGGCACATCGATTCCATGACAAAAAGCAGTGGTTGTAAACCTTTTCTTGGCCGGTTCTCTTTCCTTGCCTGTGTTGACACCTTTATTCCTCAGAGATGTCTCAACAGCAAACCTGCCTCGGAGTAGCCTCTGAGATGATTTGGGACCTGGAACGGGCCAGCCCTGCCACCTCGACAGGGACTAGCTGCACCTGCTGCTTCCCCTCTGAGGCCTGGACTCTGGCCCTGTCTGAGGCAGGGGGTCCAGGTGTGGAGGACTGGGGCCTGGCGCTTCACCTAAGCCTTTGGGAGGGAGGTTTGCTGGCAGGGCTGGACTGTAATGGCTTCTACCTATTATTATAAGTGAACCCGAAGAGAGGCTCTCTACTGCTCCTTTTCTGCCTCTTGGGGCACTGGACACGTGGTAGGGAGAGAGGTGTGGAAAGGCCTATGATGTAATGACTTCCTGCAGTTGGGCATCCAAAGAGATTAACTCCTGTCCCCCTGCGGGGCTGCTGATACCCAGCTGCTTTGCTCTTGCACCTCATCCTCCTGGTCCCGTCTGCTAAGATATGAATGTGTACCAGGCAAAAGAGAGCCCTGTGCCTTGTGCAGTTGGAGATACATATCGTTTGTCAGTTGCTTCTATTAACAAGTTAGCTTTTTTTTTTTTTTAATTAAAGAGGTAGTTGCTTTCTCCTTCTGTCCTTTCCTTCGTTGTCTTTGGGGAGCCCTGAACTTCCTGGGTTCCAGTGGGTGTGTAAAATAAGAATAATCTGACATTAGGCAGAGAACTGAAACACTGTAGAAGAGTCAGTGTATGAAAAAGCTAAAGAATTTAGTGTTATTAACTTTTAATTCGCTTTAAAAAAATCTTGCAAAGTGCCTTTAAAAATTTTTTTTTGTGGCTAGTATTGGGAAGGGCTTGTTTAGATACTTTAAAAGCAAAATGTGTGCTTTGATATTATTCCACAGATCTAGCTCATCCTTGAACAAATGCTGATATTATGAATTTTACATTTGATTTAATTTTATTGCTTTGCAAAGGAATATGAGTTGTGTGATATGAGAGACATTTATGAAACAGATGAGAGTTCCGTTTCAAAACAGTGCTAATGTGATACCTTTAAAAATTGAGTTTCCAAGTGGATAGTAAGGGTTAATCTCAAGGTTCAGTGTTAGGAAAGGGTGAATTTATGGGATCTAAGAAGATGGATTTTGGGGGGTGGTGGGATATTTTCCAAATTTCTCACACTTGAAATTTAGTTCTGCATATTTTGAATTTGGCAGAAAATCTGTTAGTTAAAAGTTAGCTTTAAGTTAGTTTAAAAGTTAACATAGGAAGGGTCTTTACCTTTCTTATTATTTTTAAGATTATGAAAGTAATTTAAACTCCACAAATAATGTTTCTTGCATCGTGTTTATAGTTAAAGATAATACCAGTTTATAGTATTTGAATTTTTTATAGTATCTGAATTTAAGATTTATGTGAGGAAGTGGTATTACCAAAAGTAGCCATGAGTTGAGACTGGATTAATTATGTTTTCATGTAGCTTGCAGGATTTGCAATAGAGATTTTGGACCTAGTCATAAACTTTGTGGTTTTCTGTCCTATTTTTGGTCTCATGGTTTCTTTTTTCCTTCTCTGTTATCTCATCTTTCTTTAACTAAAATCCTATTAAATATTGTGAATTGAAACTGCCCAGCCCTAATATGTTTAATACAGGGCACATATTCTATGAGTAGTTTTACTTGAAAATTTTACACCAATTCTGTTTCTGAGTATCACACAAAAACTAATCCTTGAAGACTATAGGGATATAATTTAGTTGAAGAATTTTTGTAAGATGACCTTTATCAAAAGATGCAGCCATGCAGGAACTTCCAAATCTTTGATGATGGAGAATGCCCTTTGAAACTGGGGCTGCTGGTTTCACATTCCGATTATGACTAATAGCCAAGCTTTTTTGTGCTTGTGGTTTAGTGGGGGGTGGAAAAAGAGGGACAAGGGAGAGGTCAGGAGCTAATTGTGACCCATTTCCATGCATCCGAGTTTCAGGAGTTGATTTCTATCATGATTATTCATTTTGGAAGCATGCATGTGCATTTAAACCACACTACTTTCATTCTGAGTTATGCATGCAGGTTTTTAACTTCTAAAAATGTCTAGAATTCAGGTTAACCTCTCCTAGTCATGTGTGCACATAGGCATAATATGCAGGGTCTAGGCCTTACTTCTTTTGTAGCTTTTTGGGCTATTGTATTATGAGATCTTTTAACCAGAATTATCACTCTAAGATCGTAGACTGAATTAGAAAAGAGGCCTTAGAGATCAGAATTGAGACCAGTGGCTCAAAATCCTGGTTGCATGTTAGAATTACCTGGGAGCTTTTAAAAAATACCAGTGCCCAGAGAACCTGATTTAACTGGGCTGATGTATGGGCATTGGTTGGTGGGGTTGTTTTAGTTTTATTTTGAAGTTTCTCAGGTGATTTTAATGTACAGCCTGGATGAGGTTTGCAGATCTCCTTCAACCCCCTTATTTTATAGGTGAAGAACTTGATTCTTCAAGTTAATGACTTTTCTAAGGTCACACAGCTAGTTAGTACAGAGGTAGTTAGTAGCCGTGGTTCCAGAGATCTTTTTCACACTGTTTTTCTCTTTAAATTGATCCTTTTTAAAGGTTATTTATTAAATACTGAGTAGTCTTATGTAAGTAGAAGTTGTTTTCCTGAAAAGCATATTTGCCTCTCAATCTAAAAAATCTTGGTTATTGTTTCAGCATCGGAAGATGGATGATTATTGATGGAGGCTGAGTGAGTGCACAGTGTTTTTAAAGCTGTCTGGTGCCTATCAGGATGGGTACTTAGGAACTATGAAGTGACGAAGGAGGCAAAAAAGAGAGCATTTTAACAAAAGGAGGAAGCTCTTGGTTAACTGAAGTTTGTCGGATGCAAACTGTGCCAGGGAGAAAGGTGGTGGCTATCTTGCAGGTTCCCTTACTTCGGGCATGAAAGTAGAAATGAATAATCAGATGTGGTTAAGAGGGGAAAAGGTTACATTTCCTTTAATTCAGATTCAGCTTACTTGCATGGCACCTGTAATTGAGCTGGTGAGTTGTCTGTTTCCACCTGTCTCAGGCAGACCTCTAGGACTCCAGGGTTTACCTGGTAAGGCCCATTTGTTACTGATTCTCCTACACACGCCCACGCATCTGTGGTTCCCGTGGGTCAGGGCACAGTCACGTTAGGCAGCCATGGGTTTCTGTGGTGGTTCCTACGATTTCATAAGCGTGAGATGCTGTGTGAGGACTTCGGCTGCTGCTGCAGAGGATGGTCCTTCAAGAGACTGAGGCTTCCTTCACGTGAGAATGTGTCCTCTCACCAATACTTCCCAAGGTTGGAAGATGAGGGCTGACCTGCCGCCTAAAGCTTGCTCACGTCCTCACTGTTCTAGCTTTTTAGATGAACGCACCCAGTTCCTTTTCAACACACTGTGTTTAAAAAATGTTATTTTAACTGCAACTTTGACGTTTAAAAATATTTTTAACAATTTCAAAATGACAGACTCATAATAATTCCATTTTGGCCTCTAATTTTGACCTCAGTCACCTTTTGGAGTAAAGGGCCAGTTACGGTCATGCCATGTATGAGGAATCTGTCTTCAGCTTGGCCCCTGTTGCTAAAATGCTGTTTTGTAATTTCCTTTGGCAGCACTGTCTTCGTCAGTGATTCTCAACTAACATACTTCCTCTTTCTACAGCAGCAGTACACCAGGGGGACTGTTTTTCTTCTTTTTCAAAGCTGTGTCATCGACCTGTGAGGTGAAGAAATTGGCCCTTTTAGACTTTGATCGGTGAGCCCCGTGTAGCAGAGAGACTCTTTTAAAAAGAAGCTGTTTGTTTTGATATGTTTATCTCCTTCTTCGAAAATGAAATGAAACTATGCAGACTTATTTTTAGGAGTTTTTAGGAGGGTTCTATTTTAAGAGAATGACACCATAGAAGAACATCTTGTAGTTAAACTTTTTAATACTCGTGATGCTTACTTAAAACCTGCAAGGTACTTTTATTTGGAAAATTAATGAAGAAGCCTTGTCCCACTAAAAAGTCATTTACTTGGTTTGCAAAAAGTTTAGCAGATACCATTCATCCAAGGATCTTTATAAAAATGCAAAGATAAGACTTTCTAGGCCAGTGCCTTCTGGGGAGGTACCCAAATTACCCATTGCTGATCAGATTCCAGATTCCCTGGGCTGGAGAGAATATGGGAATTTGTTTTGTTTTCGTGCTCATTCATCTTGTCTGTGAGGAACAGACTTGCTCCTATTTTTGACTCCTCATTTTTCTCCTCACCGTTTCCTGTATCACAAATGGAGGAGCCCTGAAGACCACTTTGGCTTTTTGCTGCTATAGAAGGAGCTGGCGATGACACATATGTAGGTGGGTTAGTATCAGTGGTTGATACAGCTGGCGTACAGTAA